ACGTTGTCCATAGATTTCTTCTTTTCTTTTTCTTGGTTCAAAACTGGTTTTACCATTTGCTTTCCTCTTGATTCTATTGTTCCCATATTATAAGAAATTTGACTTACGCTTTCTTAATTAAACAATAATAGTAAAAGTTTAACAATAATAGCAAAATTTTAGCCCTCATAATACTTAACAAACACTAGTAACATTTTAAACTTCTAAAATATGATAACGGTTTTGCTAATATTTTGTTTTTTTTTATTGAATTGTTTGTGGATGAAAGTGTAAATGCGCACTTAACCCTTTTATGAAATAAACTTTTTTCTCATTTTATTTGAAAACATTTATATTGTACGAGTATGTTAAGTGATCTTAACGCCTACATATTTAAAGAATATAATTTAATTAGAAATGTTACTGTTTCTAACTTTTAATTCAATTTATTATATATGTTAATTTTACACGAATAAACTTTATTGAGTGTAAGTAAACTTTAAAATTTTACTAAAAATCATTTTCTTGCAAAATAATTGATTCACTTCAGATCTCAAAACACGCTAAACTTCAATATCTTATTTCTTTGATATGAAAATTTGATATTCAACGCGTGTTTTATCTTTTACTTAAATATTTTAAATGTACATACTGTGTTTTTGTGAGTTTTATTGTGAAGGGTATATTCTACTTGGTATGGGGTTTGGAACCACTTGAAGGAGTCGTCTCCGGTATGGACATTTATATATTTTTTTGCTTAGCGCAAAGCTTTGCGTTAGTTTAGATATGTCTGCATGAGGGAACGGACATTGCATGATAACTCAAAAACGAATGATACAATCGACACCAAGCGTTCACAAATTTTTTCCTTTCTGCCAAGGACGGCTCCTATTGTAATTGGTTCAATTCGGGCAACGTATTCGGGCTAGCTGCCACACAACTCAAAGAGGTTTAAAACCTTATAAATATATTATTATCAAATTTTGCCAAAGTGTGTCCAATTATATTTTGCATATGTTCTGAAAATTTTAATGGGATGGCTGCACTGGTTTTGGTGGCTGCCATACAACTCCAAAAGCCAATTTTAAATATTCGGAAAAATAATAAAGTTAGATTTATAAAACCTGGAAGTCGTTTGTCCAATTTCAGGTCAGATATATTCCTGATGTTTCGATGTACTGGCTTGCCAGGGTCGGATAGCTGCCATGGATTCATGAAACTTGATAGTCGTATGTTTCATCATATGTTACATACGTTGTGGAATGAGATAAGAGACATATTCGGCTAGCTGTCATACAAATGCAAAGGGAAATTTTAAATATTTGGGAAAATAATAAAGTGAAATTCCTGAAATTTGGCAATCTTGTGTCCAATTTTAGGTTTTAGCTGCCGTAAACTCCAAATTTTTATTCTATGTATTCAAATAAATAATAAACGTAGTGTAATTTATGAAATTTGGCAGTCATGTGTCCAGTTATAGGTCAGATTTATCCGTGAAGGTTCTACGCAATAACAAAAGCTAATTCTAGATATTTTAAAAAGCAAATTTGTAAGCTCAGATTGTCAAGGTGCAGCGTATAAAATACTTTATAAACATTTTTTTAATTAAAACCAGAAAAAATATAAAATCTTTGAGGAATGTGCTAAAATGTCGTTTATTTGAATCGAAAAACCTCACAGAAAAGAATTATTTGCGTGTTTATAAAAAAAATTATATGGAACACCTAATACAAAAAAGGTAGTAATGTTAACCGTTTTCACATTTTGCTTGTTTTCTCAAAACTGTTTTAGCTTAGGCAAGATATAGCGCCAAAAATAAAAGCTATTATTGATAATATTTCACAATTTAAAAAACAGTTAAAAAAATCTGATGTGGTCAGCACATAACCGACCGCATTGTGTATTGTCTAGTTAAATGAAAGTGTTACAGAATATTATAAAAATGTCTGTTAAATACTTCTTTTCAATTTTTAGGACTTTAGTAAGCTTATAGTTAACATACTTAGAAAAATGTAAATTTGGCTCTTAGTAAAACTTCGCTTTGTGCTACCCGAATTCCCTGAAATGCTCGCCAGTAAGTTTCGGTAACAACCAGAACTCAAATATCAAATTTCAAGAAATGCCATCAATTCGTTCCGTAGATATGGTGAAAAATGTAAAATCGGCCCGCACATCAGTTTGCGAGCCCTGATCTTTCCAAAAAAATTATATGTTCATTGCTTTAGTATGAGGAATTCATATATTAAATTTCGATGAAATCGGTTGATTATTTCTCTTTATATACACAAAAGTGTATGTTTGGCCCGTAGTAAACGTCTAGTTGCCGATGCCTGATCTTTCCAAAAAATTTATATGTTCATTGTTTTAATACGGGGAATTCGTATATTAAATTTCAATGAAATCGGTTGATTATTTCTCTTTATATGCACAAAAATGTATATTTGGCCCGTAGTAAACGTCTAGTTGCCGATGCCTGATTTCTTCCAAAACATAGAAATTTTCGCGGACGGTCGAGCTGAGCTTATATATAAAATTTCAAGTAAATCGGTTGAATATTTTCTTTAAAATGTTCAAAAATGTAAAACAGACCCACTAAAAAGTGCAGTTCCCGAGGCCTGATATATACCAAAAGTTGATCGATCCGTGCCATGGTAGAAATAAACTTACATATAAAATTTCATCAAAATCGGTTCAGCCGATCTTGAGATACACGCGTGCACACACAGACCGACAGGCTGCTAAAAATAGTCTACTTACACTTCTCTACTATGGAGAAGTGCATTCCTACCGAAAACTCGATATGCAAAATTTGTTGCCATCACATAACCTACCTATTGTATACACAATACGGTCGGTAAAAAGTGTGTTAATAGATTCACAAAACAATTAAACACAGATATAGGAGAATTATCTAGTATTAAAATTAGGCTAAATTCAGTTTTTGCAGATTGAATAAAGTCTGAGATATGAATTATTTGAATCATTTAAATTCCTTATAAATAATAAAATTTTAGTTTTAAATCTTGTAACTAGACTATTAATGCTGTAATCATATTAATATTTTAAGAACACATTGAAGATCGGAGACTAAGTTCAAAAACCAGAACTTGCTGATATATTATGTTTAAAATTCAAATTGATTAGCAAAGAGAAGAGAACATATCTAATTAATCTAAAAAACCATAAATTTTTTAGCTACAGCTAAAAATGGACACAACAATGATGTTGGTGTTTCTGTATCTGATTCTCTAGAATAAAAATCAATTAAATTGCACATTGATGATCATTTTGATATTAAATTAGTACAACAAAGGTAATTCTTAATGTCACGGACTTTACGTTTACAGACCAGCAGAAAATTAAACCGATGAAGTAAACGGATTCTCTGATTCGTTCGACAGTCTTTTGGGCAAACTTGAAAATATAGGTAAGGAGTAACAGGGTCTAAGGAATAGAAGGAAATTCACTTATTGTGATGGTGTATAAAAGTGAGAAACGGGATTTAAACTTTGGTGTCATATAGGGAAGTGCGTTTGAACTAGCACTATTCTCATATTATATTAGCAGTTTTATATTTTTAAATGCGTGTATTAATTTCCATATATTTCCTTTTGTCATGGCAATAGAAAGAAGTGTAAATGATGATATGTCAGTGAATAAGAAAAAAGCAAAATTTATTTGAAACTTAATGTCGTTGTAAAATAACGTTGTAAACGAGAATATCACTCTGTGACATTTGACTAGAATAAACGTAAAGTTACCCAGTGACAAGAACAAATATCTTGGTATATGTTTTAAACAGAATTTCACTTATATTGGAAAAATAAAGGAATTAGCAACGAAATGATGTTTAAGAAAACTGGGAATGCCTTTAAACTTTTTCATATTACTCAATGTTTCATAGTATTACATATGGAATTGAAGCATGGAGTAGTATTTTCATAAAAAATTAGGATCTGTTGCAAGAAATACAGAATAAAAGCCATCAAAAATAAATTTTTACTATATCGATAAAATTTAAAAGAACATCGATAAAATTTAATTCATAGTCAGTATAAAATATTGAAAATTCGGGATAATCGAAATTTTTGCTATGCAACACACATTTGTATTATACAGGAAAACACCACAAACAAACCAACAAACGAATTTAAAACTTGATGTGAATTGTAAATATCATCAGTATGAAACAGCAAGTGGGATTCATATTTTGTTGGCTGTGAGACAAAATAGGCTTGAACTTGTTGTCGTTACGTTCATTCAAAAAGAAACAAAATAAATTCTGCTGGAGAAATATATTATCGAAAAAGAAATATATAATGGGTATAAGCGGGCTTTTTTCCTTTTTTGAATTTCATTGACTTTTATATTTACTCTTAATCTTGATTTAAAATTGATCTTATACTATTCTGTGTCTTTTTTGCAATTTTTGCCACCGTATATTCTTCGATCTTTATAATTTGTAGATATTCGAGTTTTATTTTTTTTCTATATATATTCCGTACGAGATGCAGAGCTCCTTTTGAAAGAATGATAAATAAATAAATGAAAAAAATAAAACAAATTGAAATCCTTCCTACTCTCTTCGGGATATCTCCGGCTTTTTACTTGGGATTAGGAAATTATAAGTGCGAGCGCGGGGAAGCTACAATGAGTCAGGAATGGCTGCGGTAACGCGGGAGGGTTCTCCTACCCTTCTCGGTTCCCTTAAAATTTGTAATAAACTTCATTAGTAATGTATCTAACTCCTTTAACTTCAGCTTTCCAAAAATTCGCGGATAGTAAAAGCGATACAATCTATTCAAAATTATTCTATATACTGTTGTTCTCTAAATGTATTATTGAAATTGCAGTACTTAATTAAATGATTAATTAAGTACTGATTATATGAAGTAATCAAGTACTGTAAATGACTAATTAAATAATGTTTAGGACTTTTTGTACGTCGTAAACAGTACTTTATTTAAATACAGTACTTAATAGAAATATGTCGACTTTTAAAATGTGCTTTGATTTTTCAGGTGTGGTTGCCCCCGTCTCGTTAATACCATTTGAAGATACAACATCGAAAGAAAAGATTACTCAAAAGGAGATAATTGCGGGAGAAGAGCATCCCAAGTATAAAGTCGAAAATGATTCCAAAGGTTTTTAAGTGTTTAAAATAATTTCAAACATGTTATTAAGGATATCTAATTTTAGTTGATACTTTTCAAGAAAATCATGATGCGAGAACTCAAACAAAAACAACAACCGATGATAGTGCAAAAAGCGAGTTGGTATCCGACAACTCCACAATTAATGGAATACTCAAAGGTGGAAAGTTAAAACAAGGTGTCTATGAGCAAAAACTAGTAAGTTTTTTCCGTTTTGTTAGCTCTTGTTTTTCAAAATAATCTGCAGTCATATTTCGCAGTTCTAGTTTTAGAATTTTGTTTTTAAATTAATATTTTGTTTTTTCCTAAATTTTGATCAATTTTGAAGGAAGTCGACAAACAAATAAATGAAAAAGCTGATGAAAACTATAAGAGATCTGTAAGGTTTTCAACGCAAAATAAAGTAGCGGTTGTTACAGAAACAAAAAATTCATGTGCCAGAGAAGAAAATGACCTCATAAATGAACTTATTCCAATCCGGAAACATTCACGTTTATTTAATAATGTCAACAAACCTAACTCAGCTGTACGACAACTTTTCCCAGAAAAATCCAAACAAGATAGATCCAATCAAAGTTATGAAAAAAATGATTTGCAAATGGGCAAAAGGAATCAAGATTTAATTCGAATGAACATCGAACGGGGTACTCTACGTAGATCCTTGTTGAGGTAAATAATTTCTAAGATTTTAACACAATCTGTTTATTGAGGTATTTTTGCAAAATTGGTAAACTTTGAAAGTAAAACACAGGTTTTTTAAATTTAAAAATTTTCTTTTAAAAATATCTTTGTTGATGTTAATTTTACATAGATTTAAACAAAGGGAAAAGGTATTCGGTGCTAATTTGCACAGATGTACAAATAAATTTTCTTTCACTTTTATTCTCAACGACTAGTTTGATTTTTCCTTGCTTTGAAATTTTAAAAAATATTTTTATTTATATCGGGAGTAAAGAAGTGGCGAAGTGGAAAGCTTCAAGTCCGTTGTCTCATTTGAGTCGCTAATAAAGTTGAGTTGGAAAAAAAACTAAGAGAACTTAAATTATAAAAAAATACAAAAAAAGCATTGTTTTCTAGAATTGTATTCGAATATCGAAAAATTTTGGAGAGGCACCAATCTTAAAAAAACAAAAAAGTTTTGAAAATTAAATTTTTTAGAAGATTGTGATATTTGTTTTAAAAGCGTTGTGAAGTTCGTTGTATGCTTTTTGTTATCCCATTTTACAATATTGGCTGCGCATGGCAATCGGTTACAAATTGCAGCTAATGTGGAACATTTTTTCAAAAGTATGTTTCAAGAAAAAGAAACTGTTAGAAATATTCAAATACGGATGGTCTTTAATAGTGTCGAAGCTCCTGGAGGTGATTCCTTGGAGTTCTTTTTTTTTAAGGAAAAATTGTTCGTGTGGACAGCGGCAAATTTGGACGTTTAGAGCTAATTTCGAGGATTAAACAAAATCAGATTGGAAAGCTTCTGTCCAAAATAAAAATATAAGGCTAAATCTCTAAGAAAAGAACTCGCTAGACATTTTTAGTGACCTGCTTTTCCTTTCTTCTCTTTGAAGTTGAACAACCTGTGCTACATATTGCGACAAAGTTGCTAAAACGGTTCTTGGTTTAAAAAAAAAAATAAATTAATAAAAAATAAACACGTGAAATTTGAAAATTGTTGACATTACTACTTTTTTTGAATTAGGTGTTCCATTTTTTATGGGCTTAATTAAAAACTGTGAATATGAATAAGTAAAAACATTTCTGTCGGTATAAACCAACCGAATCATACGCTCCACCTTTGAGTTTAAAAATTTGCTGCCATACTCGAATTTGTCAATTACTCGAATTTGTCAAACTACTCTATAGAAACTTTACGCATAAGTGTGACCTATAACTGGTCACATGACCGTTAAGTTTCATGATTCTAGCTTTATAATTTTTTCGGATAGCATTTGGAGTTATATGGCAGCTACCTGAACCTGTCAAACCATCCCATTAAAACTTCAGGCATATAACGAACCTGTAGTGAACACATGACCGCCAAGTTTCATAAATCAAACTTTATTATTTTTCCGAAAATTTAAAATTTGTTTTTGGAGTTGTATGGCAGCTAGTTGAACCTATCAAGATATTCCGTCAAAACTTCAGAGATATATTTCATCTGAAATGTGACACACAATTGCCAAGTTTTATGAATCTAGCTTTATTGTTTTCCCAAAAAATAAAAATTTCCTTTTGGAGTTCTATGGCAGCTACCCGAACGTGTCAAATCACTCAAAGGAATAATTAAATAATGCATAAATGTATATATGCGGGCATACTTCCACTTAGTACATAATGAGCTGTATCCAGTCAATTTTTCTTGCCTTTGCTATTTAAAAATAAGCTTTTTATTTTTTAAATAAAAAAAGTTAGGGCTAAAAACATTTTCCTTAGGTTAAAATTTTAATAAAATTATGTTTACTTACAGTGTACATTACTGAAATAAAAAAATAGTTTTTATAATTGCGGTGTTTTTCGTATATAAAATATTTTTTGTTTTACTTTGTGAAGCATATATATAAGCATGTAGAATTATGAGTGCGGATAGGAATTTTTCGAATCCTATTCGCATGTTTTATGTGATTCATTTTGCGTTCATAAATTATACTGGCAAAATCAAACTGAGCTGGAAACTGGCATTTCAAAATATGATGACTTTATTAAGGTATTTCTTATCGTGATTCGATATCAATAATAATTCATAGCACTTACTTTCTTGTTTATTTCTCCATTTTATTAAATATTGTTATCAATATACAAAGAATATTCTTCTATACACAGATGTATGAAAAAATTTTATTAAACTAATCCTTGTACAGAGCATTACTTGCCGTAAAAGCCAAACTGATGTTTCAAGTAAAACTTTTTTGAAGCTTAAATTGAAATATTTGCTAAACCACGCCATAGCATATTTTAGTTTTTTTATATATTAGTTGACATCTTAAAGACGTTTCAAAGGAAGCATTTACGGACTATGGAATTATCGTTGTCAATACTTTTTTTAACGGTTACAAAAATCACTTTGTACCGTATACGCCATCCTCAACGGGTTTTTTCGGGAAATTCTAGGCATAAACTGTAAACGAATAATAACGCGAATTTTTTTTTAAGTATTACTTAAAAAAACCACTTAAAAATAGAATTTTGTAATTTAATTTATAAAATTAGAAAACAGACTTTTATTTTTTGAACTTAATATAAAATAAAATTGTAATTAAAATAATCTCTATAATATTTTCACCATCTATAACTGGTTTAGGTGGATTTGTTTGCATATTAAGCAAATACATTATATTGATATGTCGGAATTTCAATATTTTCGTCCAGAAAGGATCGACAACAATATTAAATAAATTTTCGGGAAACTATTACGTTATATATCAATTTTGATTATTATTTTTGATTTTTATTTTATGCACACTTTTTGAAATTCAATTTTTTTTCTCATAAGTAGGGTTTCAAAATTTTTACATCAAAACATCAAAGATTTGTTATCATATACAGGCCTAAAAAAGAAATTAATTTCCTTTTTCATCAATATAAAGATTTAAAAAAAAATAATTCACAAATAATATTTAGCAAACAGGAAACACTAAATTCAAATCCTATTACATAAAAAATAATGAAAAGTATTCCTTTCACTTTTTTAATCGTTAATGTACTTTCTTTGCACGCTTTTATGTTTCACAAATTTACCAAAAAATAAGTCTTTTCCTCATAAGTAAGATTCCAAAGTGTATTATATTTATGTATTAAATATATTTTCTACCTGACTCCGTTCAGTTCTAAAGTTCAAGAAGTAGCTTGCATACTTCTACAAAAAAATAATATTCAAAATTGATATGTAAATAAATAAATTACTAAATAGTATTCTCGCAACCGATTAGCAATATTCTAACACTATTTTAAGCTTACTTTTATTTAATGACACAACTTTGTTAATTTTAAGATATTTGGACACGTTAAAATTTTCATATTTGAAAATCTGTTACTTAGTTTACGAGTATCCATATAATTACGGTTTCCAATGTTTTCATTAAATATATCATATGTTAAACAAATATTAAAAATTATTATTCATTTCATATTATATCTAAATTTAAAAAATTATTATTAAAATATAATACATTAATTAAATTATTTTCAATAATAATATTTAGTATAACAAATGTAATACCCTATTAAAAAAATCGCCAAATCTGAATAAGAACCCTGCATTTCCATCTCTTTCCACTTACAATCGAATTGATACTGATAAATAATTTGATTTGTTATATTTGATGGTAATACACATCAAAATGCTTTGCTACACGTAATGCCGCAATACATAACTTTTCGATGCAAAATGTTTTGGGGTCTTGTAATAAAGATCATACACCAAAACGATTTACGTAATTAAAAATTTATATTTTGCTGTATGTATAGAAGTTCAAGAACATACAGCAACTCAATAATCTCCTTTTAGAAAGGGGATTATCGTTTTCAGTTTTAAAATATTTAAATTTACGATAAGAAGAAATTTTTGTGTGGCTTAAGTACCTTATATATAGTCTAATCCACACAAGGCTAAAAAAATTATTTTCTTTCTTTTGGTCCACCAGAAAAGCGTAGTATTACTTCAAACTTTTAGTTTATATTAAAAGTCAATATTTCCTCTGTTTTTGTAAGAGGAAATATTTAAACAATCATTACAATAAAAGTTGCATGCCTTCTTAATTTCCAAATTTAATCTGATAATCACGGCAAGCATCACTGAGGCAAGGTATATAAAACATAAAAAATGGGACAAAACGCAAATACAGACAAAAAAATTGAAAAAAAGAAAGTTAAGAGTCGGAAGGAGGTTGACGATTCGAAATTCTATTTATGTGGTCTTCGCTGTAAGGTTATTTTCCTTTTAGTTGGAGACAATTTAATTTGTTTTTGACACTTAGAGCACAACGGGATTTTTTCAATGTTATCCAACTTAATCATATTTTTTAGTCAATTTTCGTTTCTTGGGACCTATAATGCGGTCTGGATCCTAGCAGAATCGATTTTCAGGAGGGTCCGCGAACATAACTTGCAGAGCATGCCGAGATCTTTTTTACAATTCCCACTTGACTACATTCAGTTTGTTTTTGCAAAAAAGTTCCTGGAAAGGTTATTCGGGCCCGAAAAGCTATTTGGAGTCAATAAGATTAAATCTGTAATCTATATTTTTTCAATTAGTTCTTTCACAGTTCGGTAGGTCGACTGAGAACTGCGTCATTACAGTTTACAAATTTCTAAAAAGTTAAATTATATCTGATTTCCGCACAAACGAACAAGAAACAAAGTTAATAACAACATAGTAATAAAAATGGCGAGTACGGGAAATAATAATTCCGAAGACGTTCCTGGATATACCAGTTATTGAATGCTCTTGCTTGTTATAGAATTAATAAGCAATTTTCCAGATGTATCTTAAATGCATCTAACCTGAATATACTGGATGATACAGAAATGAGTACGGCATTAGACGTTCGTTTCGTTTAGGACGTCAATGACGTCGTTTCCAACTTCAAAATTTTCGTTTGGAAGTAGGTGAAGTCTCAACGTAGTTTTAGTAGTAGGTTTGGAAGTCTCAACGGTTTCTAAAATACAAGGGCTTT